GCCAGCCAGACTCGGGGGCTCTGCTTGGCCGGCCAGCCGCCCCTGCGCCCCGGCTCCCTCCTGCCAGTCCGTGGAGCATGCACTGCCTCTCCGCCCTTCCTACCCTCTTCCGTGGGCCTCTGGTCTATGATTGGTTCCAGAGAATCCGTTCTGCTAGTCTTCTGGCGATTTTCTGGGTTTTTTAGGCAGGTGTGGGTGGAATCTAAGTGACCTGCAGGACGCGGTGAGCCCAGCGTCCTCCTACACTGCCATCTTCCAAGAAGCCTCTGAGACTTGCTTATTTTTCATCAGTTAGCTTTTAAGAGAGATGGTGCCGTGGAAACTGCTTCTACTCTTTTGACCAAAAGTCAGCATCATTTCCTAGGCAGAGACATATAAAAGCCCCAGGCTTTTCCAATACAGAAAGCCATGCCAAGCTTCCCAGGCTCCAGTCTGTTCTGAGGAGTCCCAAGGCCTGGCATGATTCCCTGATGGTAGCACTTCAGCTGCCAACCAGCTGAGCCCCATCTTAGTACATCTTTGTACCCAGGAAAGATGAAGTTGTAGCATCCTGAGTCTCATCTCTTCAGGCTTGATTTCTTTAGTTTCAGCATGGGTCCCATTAGAGCATGGATCCTTTGGGGAGGGGTAACACTGAGCTACATATACCTGAGTGTAAACAAAAGCTATGAGAGTGTAGCTTTCACAGAGCTAAGGGAGTGGACAAGGAGCCAGAGTTTGACAGCATACTTGGTTTCTCTTACTGTGGAGCTTGTCAGAGTAGCTAAGAGTCCTGTGGCTGACTTGATCCCTTCTTTTCTCTTTGAACAGGGCCACCCAGGACAGCCAGGGCCCAGAGGCCCACCTGGCCTGGATGGCTGTAATGGAACTCAAGGAGATGTTGGATATCCAGGCCCCGATGGCTATCCTGGGCTTCTTGGACCACCCGTACGTTGCCAGATCTTTGCACATTATTTAAAATGGCTTTCTTTGCCTCCAAGTGTGCCCCTTTTCTGCTTTTATGGAGATGTCATTAAGCATATGTAGGGCAACCACTGCAACCCCTTGTTCAATGCAGGAGTCTATGCTGGCAGCACAACATTAAAAAGTGTAAAGAAGAATATCAGTTGCAGGGGGTGTACACATGCTCCACTACTTAGAGTTTTTTTTTTTTTTT